AATTAAAATTAGAGCAACTCTCCCCCAAACAATTTGAAAAAAAGTATAAAATTCAACATATGTTTTTTTTTTGGACAAGCAAATGGTAGTAGTTTTAAATTAATTGAAAACTTTGCAACAACAGCAAAAACACAAAAAAATAATGAAAGCCTTATAAAAGTTAAGAATCAAATTTATGCTGGACAATCCATAACTTTAAGTTTTAGTAATGCTGATGCTGCTGTTGGGCAGCAACAAACTAAGAAAATGTAAGCTTTAATTGCCATAACTGTAAATATACAAGAAAAATAAAATTAAACTTGTTGTTGTTACTCTTAAAGTTAAGAAAAATATGCAATTGACGATAAAAATGAAACCAAAGTATAAAAACAAACTTTGTTGAGACTTCCTTATTTAGGTGCGTTAAGTTTCTAAACTTTCCTCCGCCCTTTCGTCTGGCCCACAAACTAATAACACTAAGTTGGTCAGCAGAAAAACAAGCAGAAAGTTAGTTTCCTCTTGTTGCAAAAATCTTTCAAGTAATGTGTTATGTTGCAGAGAAAACAATAAAAACAAAAAATATTTAGAAAAATTCCATTAATGTTAGAAATACCAAACAAAAATGAAAGAAAATAACAACAAGTGGACGTAACTTGACTTTTAGGGAATTTTTCTTACAACTACTAAAATAAGGTTAAAGTTTTTTTTTTATATACATCTCCCTCATTTTTCTTCTTTCACCTTTCCATCTTACTAACTCAATGCCTCACTTGTTGCCTGGCCCTAGCTCAAGTTACACAATTTTATCTAATGGTTTCCATTTGTCTCTGCAGTTTTAGTTTGTATGTCATTGGTAGCTCATGTTGGTTGTCTATTTACGGTTAATGTTGCCTTAATATAATGGACCAAACCGGTAGCCATCCATCCATCCAACCATATAAGCAAAACATTGTGGCAAAGTTAAGAATATTAAGACATAAAAAGAAAAACCATTAAATAGAAATAAAATTTTTAGGTTATAAGGCCATCACAAAAAAAAATATAAATAAATGTCTTGCAAGTATAATATTCATTAAGGTAAAAGTAAATAGAAGATGAAATAATATGTAGACAAATGTATCCATAAGGTTAAGTCATCATATAAGTGCTCATAATAATTTATTAAAAGGCATATTTGGTAAAACGGTTAACTGCATTTTTTAGACAGATTTTACCTCAAGGTTCAGTTCTAGTTCAAGTTCAGTTCTAGTTCAGTTGTAGTTCAGTTCTAGTTCAGTTCTAGTTCAGTTCTAGTTCAGTTCTAGTTCAGTTCTAGTTCAGTTCTAGTTCAGTTCTAGTTCAGTCTAGTCAGTCTAGTTCAGTTCTAGTTCAGTTCTAGTTCAGTTCTAGTTCAGTTCTAGTTCAGTTCTAGTTCAGTTCTAGTTCATTCTAGTTCAGTTCTAGTTCAGTTCTAGTTCAGTTCAGTTCAGTTCTAGTTCAGTTCTAGTTCAGTTCTAGTCAGTTCTAGTTCAGTTCTAGTTCAGTTCTAGTTCAGTTCTAGTTCAGTTCTAGTTCAGTTCTAGCAGTTCAGTTCTAGTTCAGTTCTAGTTCAGTTCTAGTTCAGTTCTAGTTCAGTTCTAGTTCAGTTCTAGTTCAGTTCTAGTTCAGTTCTAGTTCAGTTCTAGTTCAGTTCTAGTTCAGTTCTAGTTCAGTTCTAGTTCAGTTCTAGTTCAGTTCTAGTTCAGTTCTAGTTTAGTTCTAGTTCAGTTCTAGTTCAGTTCTAGTTCAGTTCTAGTTCAGTTCTAGTTCAGTTCTAGTTCAGTTCTAGTTCAGTTCTAGTTCAGTTCTAGTTCAGTTCTAGTTCAGTTCTAGTTCAGTTCTAGTTCAGTTCTAGTTCAGTTCTAGTTCAGTTCTAGTTCAGTTCTAGTTCAGTTCTAGTTAAGTTCTAGTTCAGTTCTAGTTCAGTTCTAGTTCAGTTCTAGTTCAGTTCTAGTTCAGTTCTAGTTCAGTTCTAGTTCAGTTCTAGTTCAGTTCTAGTTCAGTTCTAGTTCAGTTCTAGTTCAGTTCTAGTCCAGTTCTAGTTCCGTTCTAGTACAGTTCTAGTTCAGTTCTAGTTTCAGTTCTAGTTCAGTTCTAGTTTCAGTTCTAGTTTCAGTTCTAGTTCAGTTCTAGTTCAGTTCTAGTTCAGTTCTCGTTCAGTTCTAGTTCAGTTCTAGTTCAGTTCTAGTTCAGTTTCTAGTTCAGTTCTAGTTCAGTTCTAGTTCAGTTCTAGTTCAGTTCTTAGTTCAGTTCTCGTTCAGTTCTAGTTCAGTTTCTAGTTCAGTTCTAGTTCCAGTTCTAGTTCAGTTCTAGTTCAGTTCTAGTTCAGTTCTAGTTCAGTTCTAGTTCAGTTCTAGTTCAGTTCTAGTTCAGTTCTAGTTCAGTTCTAGTTCAGTTCTAGTTTCAGTTCTAGTTCAGTTCTAGTTCAGTTCTAGTCAGTTCTAGTTCAGTTCTAGTTCAGTTCTTAGTTTAGTTTTAGTTCAGTTCTAGTTCAGTTCTAGCTTCAGTTCTAGTTCAGTTCTAGTTCAGTTCTAGTTCAGTTCTAGTTCAGTTCTAGTTCAGTTCTAGTTCAGTTCTAGTTTCAGTTCTAGTTCAGTTCTAGTTCATTCTAGTTCAGTTCTAGTTCAGTTCTAGTTCTTAGTTTCGTTCAGTTAGTTCTAGTTCAGTTCTAGTTCAGTTCTAGTTCAGTCTAGTTCAGTTATAGTTCAGTTCTAGTTCAGTTCTAGTTCAGTTCTAGTTCAGTTCTAGTTCAGTTCTAGTTCAGTTCTAGTTCCGTTCTAGTTCAGTTCTAGTTCAGTTCTAGTCAGTTCTAGTTCAGTTCTAGTTCAGTTCTAGTTCAGTTCTAGTTCAGTTCTAGTTCAGTTCTAGTTCAGTTCTAGTTCAGTTCTAGTTCAGTTCTAGTTCAGTTCTAGTTCAGTTCTAGTTCAGTTCTAGTTCAGTTCTAGTTCAGTTCTAGTTCAGTTCTAGTTCAGTTCTAGTTCAGTTCTAGTTCAGTTCTAGTTCAGTTCTAGTTCAGTTCTAGTTCAGTTCTAGTTCAGTTCTAGTTCAGTTCTAGTTCAGTTCTAGTTCAGTTCTAGTTCAGTTCTAGTTCAGTTCTAGTTCAGTTCTAGTTCAGTTCTAGTCAGTTAGTCAGTTCTAGTTCAGTTCTAGTTCAGTTCTAGTTCAGTTCTAGTTCCGTTCTAGTTCAGTTCTAGTTCAGTTCTAGTTCAGTTCTAGTTCAGTTCTAGTTCAGTTCTAGTTCAGTTCTAGTTCAGTTCTAGTTCAATTATAAACTTTCACTGCATCTGAACTTAAACAATGCTATGCTGGTCACCTTAATGCGTATATGTTTCTATTTAAAATTATCCACCAAATAACGTGATGAAATGTTAATGCCAGTTTAAAAGAGGGGGTATAAAAGTAAAACATAGTTAACAGCAGTTACTAATTTAAAGCTGATTGCAACAAATATGAAACAATTACGACATCATTCAAACTAAATAAATGTATAAAAATAAATTTAAATTTCTGCTCGTGCAACACAACTCGTTAAACATGAAATGGTGATGTGATGGCTTGTTTGCCGTGAAGGTTATGACGGATTTAATATTTCTGCACGAATTCATCGACAGTTAACTAAATACATTTTAACTAATTTTTATTTAAATAACTGAAATAATTTTTTTATATAACTTAAACAACAAGTTAACATGCCAACAGCCAACTAAGTAAACTATTTATTACAATATTAAAAAAAAAAAACGATTTAATATAGAATGTATTTTGCCGGAAACAGGAAGGGAATTTTGGATGATTTATTCAAAATTTCATTTGAAAAGACATTATATCAAGCAAAATTAAGTGTTAAATGTACTTGAGTTATAACATTTTTGGCATATAAGTATGCATATTAACGGTTTTTTTTTGCCTCATTCATTCTGGGAAAAATGGTTTAAAAAGTGATTAAAAAAGTAAGTTGTTGGTTAAGAGCTGTTTCTTTTTTGTCTCATTTTCTCTTAAATGAAAGAAACTGAAGATGCGTCTGCTGTTGGCTGTGAAGTTGCACTTAACATGCTGCTTTAAGCATACATAAATAATAAGACAGTAACAAACAGTCTTTTAAGGAGGAAATTACAATGTTGTGTAATACTATTTATTTACTGCCAATGTCGGTTGTATGATATTTAAAAAGTATTTAAGAATTGAAAAAAAAAATATGAAAATGCTATAAAGTGAAAATAAAAAGGGAGATAGAAGATTTTAAAGTATTCGTATAGAGATAAATGTTTTCCTAAAATATATCTTGAAATACTGAATAAAATATGAAGTAGACTTCAACTAGAATTCAACTTGAACTGAACAAAATTTGATTTTTATATATATTTTTAAATATTTAGCTTTTAATATTTATTTTATCAATTGAGATTACAAAGAAAAATGTGTTTATTTTCTGTTACAGCACAAAATCCTAAAAGTAATCTTACCCTCTTTTAACAAATTTATTCATATTATTAACAACATCAAGTTATCGTAAACTATTAAATTGTTTGTCAGCAAATAACCCTGATATTTACTCATTTTCTCATACTCAGTTCAAAAACAAAAATCAATATATATATACATATATATTGTTGCAGTAGTGGTACTGGTAGTAAAACATAAAAATAACAACATCTATAACCATGAATATTTATTATCAACATTGTAGCAGAGTGTAAGTAAATATTCAAATATCTATAAATAAAAACTACTTAAACCAAGTAAACCCTAAAAGTAGGCAACGAAAAAAGAAACAAAAGACTTACTACACTTGAACAAGTATCAACCCCTAAGCAATTACAACTGCTGCTTTACGCAGTGGATAAAAAATAAATATTGAAAACAAGTAACAGAGATGAGGAAGGCATTTAGTCAGCCTCCAGGGTTTTATAAAATGGAAAAATATTTCCTTAACATTTTCTCTAATGTTATGATTTTTAATCATTAAAATTTTCTTATGTTTTTAAATTTAAGTTAGTACTTACGTCATTTTTATGTTCCTGAAAATCACATGAATGCTGTAAACGCTGTTTAATCTCAAGATGAGCTGATGATTTTTCCATATTTATATCGGAATGCCTTTGCTGGCGTTTAGTACGTTGATGTTTGGTATTGTGTATATCATGTTCCAAATCATCACCACCATCCACCACATAGTGTGGCCAACGGCAACATAAACGAGCGTAAGTACATTGCAGAGCTTCGGCCAGTAGGGCACCTAAACTGGAGAGACACATCAACATCAATGGCACCCCAATTAAGGCATAAAAAATAGTTGCTATTTTACCACCAGCTGTACGCGGTGTTAAACTTCCATGACCTGTGTGCCGTTTTTATACATTTTAATATAATTTTTGTTGAAAGTAGTGGGAAGATACAAAAGTAGAGAAAAAGTTATTTTTTTAAGTTCTCTTTCATTTTCTTAATAATTTTTTATGTTTGTAGTTTTTTTTTTAGATTTCTAATTCAAATATGATGCCCGTTTTATAGACAGACGGAAAATTATTTAATGTTTGTGTTGGCAAAGCAAAAACAGGAAATAAAATAGGATTTTTAAAAGATTGTGAAAATGGCGAGCAAATATGTAATAGAATTTAAATTTGCTTATTTAGTATTTTAATTTGGATATTTAGTATAAGACTTCTAAAGAATATAAATTAATAATTGTTTAATTTAGTTTTGCTGGAAGAAATATGAAAATTAATGAACTATTAACATATTGGATAAGCATATTTCCAGAACAGAACTAGAACAGAAATAGAACAGAAATAGAACAGAACTAGAACAGAACTAGAACAGAACTAGAACAGAACTAGAACAGAACTAGAACAGAACTAGAACAGAACTAGAACAAACCTAGAACAGAACTAGAACAGAACTAGAACAGAACTAGAACTGAACTAGAACTGAACTAGAACTGAACTAGAACTGAACTAGAACTGAACTAGAACTGAACTAGAACTGAACTAGAACTGAACTAGAACTGAACTAGAACTGAACTAGAACTGAACTAGAACTGAACTAGAACTGAACTAGAACTGAACTAGAACTGAACTAGAACTGAACTGAACTAGAACTGAACTAGAACTGAACTAGAACTGAACTAGAACTGAACTAGAACTGAACTAGAACTGAACTAGAACTGAACTAGAACTGAACTAGAACTGAACTAGAACTGAACTAGAACTGAACTAGAACTGAACTAGAACTGAACTAGAACTGAACTAGAACTGAACTAGAACTGAACTAGAACTGAACTAGAACTGAACTAGAACTGAACTAGAACTGAACTAGAACTGAACTAGAACTGAACTAGAACTGAACTAGAACTGAACTAGAACTGAACTAGAACTGAACTAGAACTGAACTAGAACTGAACTAGAACTGAACTAGAACTGAACTAGAACTGAACTAGAACTGAACTAGAACTGAACTAGAACTGAACTAGAACTGAACTAGAACTGAACTAGAACTGAACTAGAACTGAACTAGAACTGAACTAGAACTGAACTAGAACTGAACTAGAACTGAACTAGAACTGAACTAGAACTGAACTATAACTGAACTAGAACTGAACTAGAACTGAACTAGAACTGAACTAGAACTGAACTAGAACTGAACTAGAACTGAACTAGAACTGAACTAGAACTGAACTAGAACTGAACTAGAACTGAACTAGAACTTAACTAGAACTGAACTAGAAACTGAACTAAAACTGAACTGAAATTAATGCAGATTTAAATCCAATTTAAAACACTTTATCCAGTAAATTACAAATTCGTTTTAAAGAATGTCCTTTTTTGCATTTCTTTCAACCAATAAATTGTTTAATATTTTTCCGCCTTTTTGTACTTTTCCCATTTTTTTTTATTTTGTAAATTAAATCAGAAAATTTTAATTAGTTTAAAAAGTCATGCATACAGTTGCCACAGATATGTATGTATATAAAACTGTGTGCAACAAAGTATATGTAAACGATTTTTGCTATTGTAATAATTTCTTTACGCACCAATTGTTGTTATCACAGTTACTGAATAGAGTAGTGCTTCACTAAAAGACCATCTTGTTGCGGTTAAATCACTATATTCCACCAAATTGTTGCCGCCATAACGGCCCAAAGCAAGTAGTTGTTGTTTCGGTAGCCATGCCTCCGGCTCCACCTGCACCATAACCTCCTGTTGTAGTACCTGATGCGGCTGTTGCACCAGCCGCCGCCATATTGCGTGTCGCTGCCACAATAGTGCCCTCAAAACGTCTCAATTGTTCGTGCACCAACATTGTCCAGTTGCGTTCATAAAGGACATTCAATTTTTCTTTTTGAACGAGAGCACAGGCAAAACATGAAATCAAAAAAAAGAAACAGAAAAATTCATAATAATTTCATTAATGTTTGGTGTACTATATAATTTTACAGTTCTGCGAATTTTGCTGGTCTTTTGCATTTAATTTTTGTTTGCTAAAAATAAAGAAAAAGTAGCTGTTTTTTTTAAGAGAAATATAATAAAATTTGTGGCAAAAGAGCTGGGTTTTTCATTTAATTAGCTGACAAATATAATGAATATTTTAAGTGCTAAAAGAGAAAATAGTCTTGTTGTGTTTTATTTTATTTTTCATAATTTCATTTTAGATTGTAGAATGAAATGAATTTAGTTTTTGCAAATGTTTATGTAATTTTTGTATGAAGCGGAAACGGAAGCCACCAAATGACCTGCACCTTTTTAATAACATTTCCAATTAAAAATTTAAATTATTAATGAAATTAGAAAAAGAGTCTGAAGAAAATTTTTATTTCATAAAAGAAATATTATTTCAATCAATTAGTTTCAAATGATAAAGAAATTTTACAAAGGGAAATACTGCAGTTTTTAAAATTATTTCATTAATATTATGTTTTGTATTTTAATTTTGTAAAAAATCTTCTTTTCTGTTAATAGTTTCTAGTGACAATTATTTTGTGTTTTTTTCTGTTGTAAAAGTTTGTTATTTTGTAATAATACTATCAAAAGCTAACATAATCCTTTTATTTCATAAAACTTAACCAAAACTTAAGTTATGGTAATACAATTACCTTACCCCTTACTTGTCATCAAACATAGCCACAAACACAATTGTGTAAAAATTCATTTAAATCTCTTAAACTTTTAGAAAAACTAACAGACAAATTTTCCTTTACATTTTACTCAACTTAGAAATGACAACGTTACAAAAACTGGTACCTAGTAATTGTCTACAATTTTATTCAAGAGATGAAAAAAGGAAAATGAACAACAGAAGAACAAAAAAAATCTACTTAAAATTAAAATGAAAATTGCATAATTATTCAAGCACTTTAAGGATGCAGCAGCAACAACAACAAAAAATCACTGCAAGCCTCCCAAGTGCAATGTACAGAAAGAGAGACAGACAGACAGACAGACAAAACACAAGTTAGACAAAACTAAAAGTCAGCCCTACAAGACAAGCTGACGACACCCACTCGGCAACAAGAGTAATTTGTTAAGCTAAAAATAGTAGTAGCAAGATGTAGCAGCATTACAGATGTAAAACACTATTAAGACATGTGCTCTAGAGGAAGCACAAACTGACATTTTAATACTCAATGTTGTTGTTGTTGGCTGTAGGTGATGTTGCCAGTAAGGTGAGCAACAGAATATATTTAAATGTTGCAGACAGGTAAAAAGGAAATGTTAATGTTTTTTTCTCTCAACTTTAACCTTTGCATGAAAAAGGAACTCAATTTCAAATTTCTAGAAAATTTAATTTTGAAACTAGACTAAAGGTTTCATATGTATATAGAGAACTATTGAAATTCCTAGTTCTCCCACATTAGTATCCAATTGATTCACCTTCAACTGCAAGTAAATCTGGTTTTCATTTCAATCCTCATTTATAGCTAATATTTTCATACCACTGCTGCTCTTAAGGGTTAATTGCAACAAACTGCTGTTTTTGACATATTAAAAAAATATGAGCGCTCTTGTAGTGAAATGAGTTCTCTGACTACAATCGTCTGTCTGTTCTTATTATGAACGATGTGTTGACAACATCATCATTTTTTATTCATACAATATGAAAAGTTGTTCTTTTAATATCCCTATAATATGTAAATAACAACTAGTTTTTCTTACGAAAGAGTTCAAATTATTAAAAAATTTCTATATATAACTTAACAGCCACGATTTTAACCGCTAATATTGCAGACAAATTTTAATCTTATATAGCAGTGTTCAGTTTTTAACTTACTGAGAAGCGAATATGAGCTGAACAATCTATTTGAAAACTATTGCTCAGATTGTGCATATTCTACTATTCAGAATAGTGGATTATATAGTCGAGTATATATACCATTTTTATCCCAAGCAAACATTAGCATGTTAAATTTTTCAAGTGCAAAAAATAGAACACTTGACTAACAATGATTTGTTTATGAATTTTTAAACGTGTCATAAGTTTTAAAACAACACAACATTGCGATGCAAATTTATTTCAACACCAACATAATTATTATTGACTCATGCAATATTTCAATTGAATTAATAATCATAATAATAAAATATGCATTTGTCTGGCATTTTGCAGGGAGGAAGGAGATAGTTAAACAACTTTAAATGGCAGCAATATGATGGAGGTAGAAAGTTTAATTGCAGAGGAAATGTTAAATGGTTAAACGATTGAAACAATTTTTTAACTAAACTAGAACTAGAACAGAACTAGAACTAGAACAGAACTAGAACAGAACTAGAACAGAACTAGAACAGAACTAGAACAGAACTAGAACAGAACTAGAACAGAACTAGAACAGAACTAGAACAGAACAGAACTAGAACAGAACTAGAACAGAACTAGAACAACAACTAGAACAGAACTAGAACAGAACTAGAACAGAACTAGAACAGACTAGAACAGAACTAGAACAGAACTAGAACAGAACTAGAACAGAACTAGAACAGAACTAGAACAGAACTAGAACAGAACTAGAACAGAACTAGAACAGAACTAGAACAGAACTAGAACAGAACTAGAACAGAACTAGAACAGAACTAGAACAGAACTAGAACAGAACTAGAACAGAACTAGAACAGAACTAGAACAGAACTAGAACAGAACTAGAACAGAACGAACAGAACTAGAACAGAACTAGAACAGAACTAGAACAGAACTAGAACAGAACTAGAACAGAACTAGAAAGAACAGAACTAGAACAGAACTAGAACAGAACTAGAACAGAACTAGAACAGAACTAGAACAGAACTAGAACAGAACTAGAACAGAACTAGAACAGAACTAGAACAGAACTAGAACAGAACTAGAACAGAACTAGACAGAACTAGAACAGAACTAGAACAGAACTAGAACAGAACTAGAACAGAACTAGAACAGAACTAGAACAGAACTAGAACAGAACTAGAACAGAACTAGAACAGAACTAGAACAGAACTAGAACAGAACTAGAACAGAACTAGAACAGAACTAGAACAGAACTAGAACAGAACTATAAGCTTCCATCTCCATCACATTTATTTCATTAAATATTTCAAAAGTCTGAATATAACATAAATACTTTATACCTTCAATCACGTTGCCACTAATTGCTATTTTTCTTTTTCAATTGTTAAAAACACAAATTAACCTAGAAATAACAGCCAGCAAATAAGTAGCAATAGTATAATTAACTTTTCCACCTACAAAAATAACAAATACCAGCTGGCATTCAAACACAGACAGCTTAACCAGACAATAATCACTTAACAAAACAAAACAAAATAAAAGAAGAGAAAATTAAAAAAATAGAAAAATTCATGAGTATTCATGACCATAAGTACCTGTTATTATCCACAGCTCTTTTAGACATTCCTCTCTTGATTTCGCAATAAGAGCTGATTTGCTAATATCCTGTGGTGCCTCCAGCAAAGGAAATATAAATGCACCCATTATGGTATAAACTACAACCATTACGACCAGGCCAGGTGTGGAAAATATTAACTTGGCCAAACGGCTTAAACAATTGTGTGAATGTTGCTGTTGCGCTGTTAAGTAGTTGCTGCCGTTGGCAGTGTTTGTATTCGAATCCTGCTGTTGAAAGGTTATATGCTGGTGAGGGTGGGACTGTTGTGACTCACTATTATTGCTGCTGTTGTTGTTGTGTTTTGGTAATAATGTACTATTTCCGGTTTCGTTTTGCAAATTATAGTTGTTAATGTTTATTTTGTTTAAAGGTGTTGATTGTTGTTGTTGTTGCTGCTGCTGTAATAGTTCTTCTTCCTCTACTAAGCCGGATATCGCCTTTTCAACGTCCGACATTTTAAATGACCAGTAAACATTAATATTTGAAGCATTGATGTAACATCATCTACTTCAACAACAGACATTTAGCTGATTTTTATATTTGTGTTGGTGGTGTTTATTAAAAAAAAATAATAATTTACAGGATTTTTAATATCTTTTAGCCCTTCAGTTTAAATTATTGTGGAGCAACCACACTTTAAGTTTTATCTTGTCTTGTTGGTAGTGTGTATGTATGTTATAGTGTGAGTTTTGCTGGTAGGTGTGTCTCAGTAATTATTTTGTTTTAATTATTTGCTGTAAATTTTCATGTTCTTGTTGTTGTTATTGCTGTTTCATTTACTGTTTACAACACTTGTATTTAAACAAATCATTTGCTGGCAGTAGTTGTAGTTTAATTTTAAACGCCTGTTGTGTCATGTTCCTTCTTTAGTTGATGTGGAACAATTCTTCTTATTTTTTACACATTTCATCGTCGATGTCGTTTTAATGTTTAAATGTCTGTAGTTTGTAGTTTAAATGTGTGTAAATGTTGCTGTGATTTCCTTTTCTTTCTACTTGTTGTTTTATTTTTAGCCAGCCCCTGTTGTTGTTTTATTTTCCTTGCTGCTACTGCTGCTCTTGCACATTCATTGTTGTCAGTAGTAGTTTTTGTTGTTGCAACTGTTGTTAATTTAGTTTATGTTGACAGCCCTCCTACAATTAAAGTGGTACAACAAATAAATTAAAAAATAATTTCAAGTATGTTAAGAATGAACACAAAAAAAAATTAGGTTAAATTTATTTTAAATGTTCTGACAGGACAAAAACAACAATAACTTAAGAAAAAAGTACAAATTAAATATAAATGAAAGTTAATTTTGACACATATACATAAGTACATATGTACATGCATATGTACGAAGAAAACAGCTTAAGGGAATGAGATTTATATACATTATTACATTAATAAAAATTAAAAATGTTAAATTGAAATATTGTTTCTTATAAAAAAATAAATTTTATTAAAAAAGCTTAATAAATCAGTTAGTTAGGTAGCAGGGATGGGGATAATGATAACACAAAGTAATTCACTACTAATTGAAGTTATACCAATTACAATTACTTGTTATGTGTAATTGACCAATAACCAATTACAATTGGCAAAACTTCAATTACAATTACAAGTAACTTCAATTACAAATACAAATAATTGTAATTGGATAAAGTGTAGTTAGTTAGTTAGTTAGTTAGTTTAGTTAGTAAGTAGTAGTAGTTAGTTAGTTAGTTAGTAGTTAGTTAATTAGTTAGTTCGTTAGTTAGTTAGTTTAGTTAGTTCGTTAGTTCAGTTAGTTAGTTAGTTCTTGTTACGTTAGTTCGTTCGTTAGTTAGTCGTAGTTAGTTCGTTTCGTTCGTTCTTCGTTAGTTCGTTCGTCGTTCGTTCGTTCGTTCGTTCGTTGTTCGTTCGTTCGTTCGTTCGTTCGTTCGTTCGTTAGTCTTTCGTTCGTAGTTCGTTGTTGTTCGTTCGTTCGTTATCGTTCGTTCGTTCGTTCGTTCGTTCGTTCGTTCGTTCTTTCGTTCGTTCGTTCGTTCGTTCGTTCGTTCGTTCGTTCGTTCGTTCGTTCGTTCGTTCGTTCGTTACGTTCGTTCGTTCGTTTCGTTCGTTCGTTCGTTCGTTCGTTCGTTAGTTCGTTCGTTCGTTCGTTTTTTCGTTCGTTCGTTCGTTCGTTCGTTCTTCGTTTTTAGTTCGTTCGTTCGTTCGTTTTTCGTTCGTTCGTTCGTTCGTTCGTTCGTTCGTTCGTTCGTTCGTTCGTTCGTTTCGTTCGTTTTTTCGTTCGTTCGTTGTTCGTTCGTTCGTTCGTTCGTTCGTTCGTTCGTTCGTTCGTTCTTCGTTCGTTCGTTCGTTCGTTCGTTCGTTCGTTTTCGTTCGTTCTTCGTTCGTTCGTTCGTTCGTTCGTTCGTTCGTTCGTTTCGTTCGTTCGTTCGTTCGTTCTGTTCGTTCGTTCGTTCGTTGTTTCGTTCTTCGTTCGTTCGTTCGTTCGTTCGTTCGTTCGTTCGTTCGTTTCGTTCGTTCGTTGTTGTTCGTTCGTTCCGTTCGTTCGTTCGTTCGTTCGTTCGTTCGTTGTTCGTTCGTTCGTTCTTCGTTCGTTCGTTCGTTCGTTCGTTCGTTCGTTCGTTCGTTCTTTCGTTGTTCGTTCGTTCGTTCGTTCCTTCGTTCGTTTTTTTCGTCTTTCTTTCTTCCCTTCTTCTTTTCCCTCTTCTTTTCCTCTCCGTTCTTCCCCTCTGCCTTCCCCTTTTTCCTTTCCCATTTTCTTTATCCTTACTCCTCTTTTCTTTTTCTCTTTCCGCGTTTGACAAACAACCTCCAATTCTTTGAAGAAGAAGGCTATTAGTAAAAAGCATAAAATTAGCATATTCATATTTAAGTAATCACTGTCTAAAACACATGTTCAAAATGTTAATTATCTTTTTAACTTTTAGCATGAATATTTACGTTTTTACAACAATATTTTTTTAATCCTAGTAAAACATCACAACGCGTATATTATTAATCAAAAAAGCAGTAACCCTGTAGTTTCATGTGGGTTCTATGACTCCCGTTCACATAAAAAGATTTTAAAATATATATGAATACTTGGAAATGCATCAAAACGGTCAGTTGTTCCCGCAAAGTCCCTAAGTATGTACATATATCAGCGAGGAGGTCAAGGAGAAGTTCAAGGAGAATTTAAATGAACTGCTGGGAGCAAATAGACACTTACAGCTACAAACACAGACAAAAAACCCACATTAACTGAGTCACAAATTCATTGTAATAAAACTCTTTCTCTCTCCCACACCTCCTTCAAACTCATTGTGTGATAAAAGAGTGTAAATATAAAAGTTTTTTTTTTTTTGTAATTTGAATGAATGCATATGTGTGTGGGTAAAACACATTTTAACTGTGAAAACATATTTTGGTATTAGTTATCATTTAACGAGCATCTTTGTATGTATATTTTTAATAAAAACACCAACAATATGTTTTATAACTCTTATAGAGAAAGTTTTCATCAAGTGAAGTAAAAATGGATGTAACAGAGAGTAATATGTTGGTAGTTAGAACACATACAATGATAATTAATTTGAATTAATTATAAGCTTCAAGTTTTTAGGATTTTATTGAGCATTGTTAATACTTTTATGCGTAAAAAGGATAATTTAACAGGATATGAAATATTTCCCTGGTTAGGCCTTCTTTAAATTATACTTATATTTTAATTAAATCTGTTAAAATTTGTAATTAATTAAAAAGATTAAAAATTTTTAATATTAATGCTATTTGCTGTAGAAGTGTTAATATATTTCTACCTTAATAACAATACACCATGACTAGTTTATCAAAGTATATTCTTAACAGGCAAAGGTAATATTCTGTAATTTATTTCTAACCCAGCATAAAATATGTAAAGACTAAAACATCATATACATAGAACCCTCCAACCAACTACTATCCGACTTCATCATCAGACAACATTATAATTGTCTTTAAAACAATAGAACTTGAAAATATATTAGATTTCCAAGTATGTACATAACGTAGAGAAACATTCAAATCGTAGTAATTAATCGTTGTTCATATTGCGAACATCATTATCGTCATTATTGAACACCAAAAACCACTCGAATTCAAATATATGTATAGGCAAGGCGTAAAGCATAAATTTCTAAGGATAATTGCATTAGCCTTCTATAACTTTTGAAATGCTCTTGTGTCTGAGTACCTACTAGATAGACAGACAATAAATAAAATCTTTGAAATGTGGTTTAATATCAAATCTATTCAAATTGAATACTAAAATAAGGAACAAATAGTATTTCTAAAAATGAAATATATATTGTACATTTCTATAAACTCCTTTAGATACAATTATATGTAATATTATCCTTATAATAGTATTCTTGTCATTTAGCTTATTTATAACATAAAAAAATTATAACTATTTTCAAATGAAAATTTTACACAAGGCAAGGCATTTGTACACTTGACTAAAATTGAAGAATTTTTAAAATACGTATGTATGTATTCCATGTGAGAGTCTTTCCTGGCAGCTATATAGTACAATGAGTCAAAGTATCTACCTCCTTAATGAACGTTCGATGGGTTTTGTACTCTTCGCAATGTTCCCAAGTTATGCGTATGTAATTGAGAGAAGTATAGTCAACTAACTAACTAACTAACTAACTAACTAACTAACTAACTAACTAACTAACTAACTAACTAACTAACTAACTAACTAACTAACTAACTAACTAACTAACTAACTACTAACTACTAACTAACTAACTAACTAACTACTACTAACTAACTAACTAACTAACTAACTAACTAACTAACTAACTAACTAACTAACTAACTAACTAACTAACTAACTACTAACTAACTAACTAACTAACTAACTAACTACTAACTAACTAACTAACTAACTAACTAACTAACTACTACTACTAACTAACTAACTAACTAACTAACTAACTAACTAACTAACTAACTAACTAACTAACTAACTACTAACTAACTAACTAACTAACTAACTAACTAACTAACTAACTAACTAACTAACTACTAACTAACTAACTAACTAACTACTAACTAACTAACTAACTACTAACTAACTAACTACTACTAACTAACTAACTAACTAACTAACTAACTAACTAACTAACTAACTAACTAACTAACTACTAACTAACTAACTAACTAACTAACTAACTAACTACTAACTAACTAACTAACTAACTAACTAACTAACTAACTAACTAACTAACTAACTAACTAACTAACTACTAACTAACTAACTAACTAACTAACTAACTAACTAACTAACTAACTAACTACTAACTAACTAACTAACTAACTAACTACTAACTAACTAACTAACTAACTACTAACTAACTAACTAACTAACTAACTAACTAACTAACTAACTAACTAACTACTAACTAACTAACTACTAACTAACTAACTAACTAACTAACTAACTAACTAACTACTAACTAACTAACTAACTAACTAACACTAACTAACTAACTAACTAACTAACTAACTAACTAACTAACTAACTAACTACTAACTAACTAACTAACTAACTAACTAACTAACTAACTAACTAACTAACTAACTAACTAACTAAACTAACTAACTAACGAACTAACTAACTAACTAACTAACTAACTAACTAACTAACTAACTAACTAACTAACTAACTAACTAACTAACTACTAACTAACTAACTAACTAACTAACTAACTAACTACTAACTAACTACTAACTAACTACTAACTAACTAACTAACTAACTAACTACTAACTACTAACTAACTAACTAACTAACTAACTAACTAACTAATACTAACTAACTAACTAACTACTAACTACTAACTAACTAACTAACTACTAACTAACTAACTAACTAACTAACTAACTAACTAACTAACTAACTAACTAACTAACTACTAACTAACTAACTAACTAACTAACTAACTAACTAACTAACTAACTAACTACTAACTAACTAACTAACTAACTAACTAACTAAACTAACTAAATAACTAAATAACTAAATAACTAAATACTAACTAACTAACTAACTAACTACTAACTAACTAACTAACTAACTAACTAACTAACTAACTAACTAACTAACTAACTAACTAACTAACTAACTAACTAACTAA